TCTTGATTTGCAGAACGTTGAAATATTTAAGCCATAGGATTGCTTCTACTAACTCAGTGATTGATTAACTAAGAGGTGGCTCCTAATTTCTGAAAACCCCAAAAGAAAACTAAAGGGGAAGTGGAGCAAAAGGACAATACCTCGTGAGTGAAAAGAGCTTCATTATTGGAATCTTTGTATTCTGGAATGAAATGTAATAGTGACCTCAGTAATAGTTTTAAAATCAATTAAGTAACAGATTTTAGAAATCCTGTCTCCATTACCCAAGGTCATAGCAATGACTCATCTTAAAATTCTGAGCATCCATTGCTTGCAAAATTATACCTATGCAATTTTCAAAAGAGTTTTCAATTTTAAATCAAATATCTGTTTTGTAGCATTTATATCTCTGTTTTAGTTTTTGCCTAATTTTTTCTTCAAGTACTAGGTTGGGTCTCTCTTTATAAACTTTTTTCAAAGCCATCCTGGAATAGTCTTTGTAGAATAGAATTCTACTGTAGAAAGGAATCCTAAAATTCATTTGCTGTCCCCTCTCCCTCACCAAATTCTAGAGAAGACAAATGGAGTCCCAAGAGCCTTGGGCTGTCACAGGTAATGATGGTGCCAGTTCTGGACCCCAAGTTTCTTGCCCTCCAAGGCTTTTACACCCCTCCCCCCAAAAAAAACTGTCTCAGATTAGTTTGGCATCAAAACACTTACCTCTTTACCTCACCCAGGACCTTTTTTTTTTTTCAAATAAAAGCAGGTTACAGATCCCAACTATTGTTCAGTTGCCTTCTCTTTTAGAGTCCTAAGACCATTGAGACAGTTTGTGAAAAGAGTGGTCTCACTACTGACCCTTTGTGTCAGTAAGAGGAAAATATTTTCAGCAATGAGGCTTGAAATTTGAGAGTACAGCATTTCTAATTTAATGCTGTTGATGATACTGACATCTACTAGTTATTTAGCACATATGAATCATGTTATAGTTTCAAAATACTTTTCTATCAATAGCAACTTCTTTGCATGAATCAGGCTACTTTTATTATTTCTTCCACCCCAAAAGAGCTTTCCTGGTCATATAGATTTGATGGATGTAATGAGTTGCCCAGATGCCTAGCTGTCCAAACTCTTAAATTCTACATAGTGCAAGCCAACAGTTTTAGATTAAGGGTGGAAACAGTCTTACCTCTGGGATTCCTGTTTGGTAAGGACAAGATTAGGGGAGGAGTGACAGGATGATTGGGAAAGGGTAGAAGGACAGTCTGCACTCATTGATGGCAAATCAAGAATCTACAGGTGTTGTAACTTGTCCTAGTTCCTACAGTCTTAGAGGAGCTTGTTTCAGCTGCAAATCTGCTGTAGTGCAAGACAGGGCAGAAATGGAGTGAAGGGCTATTGGTAGGATCCGGTTCATCTTTGACTGATTCCGTCCTCAAGGAGTGAATAAGTCTCAGTGGGATCCATAGCAGCACTTTAAATTAGTAATGTATTGACACTGGACTGTTGCTGTTGACAAGAGTGGACACCTTGAATGTGCTCCTTGGTGTAGTGATTCTGAGCACGAACTCAGAGGCAATTCCAAACCTGTAATAAGAATAAGGCTCTCCTCAGACATGACTCAAATAGAAAATCTCTTTGAATCACAACCTTTGAATCTGAGTCATTCGCCAGTCTTTTCTTTGTCCTGTGAAGCCAATTTAAGCATTGAGATCTAAACCAGTCTTCTCAGCAATCTCACATCTCAACCACCCCCCTGGGAACAGTAAGTTTTTTTTTTAGGTATTGATTTTTAAAAAAGACCACTTTATACAAGCAGGTCTAGGGGATTTGAGGGCTTGAGAGAGTCACTAGAAATTACTGTCAGTTCTTGCCTTAAAGCTGTCTCTGCTCTGGGACACATGGCCTGTCAAATGGCCCTAGAAATCTGATTACCCTGACCCTTCCTCTTCCTCCTCCCATGTTAAATTTTTCTAATTTGTCAGCAGCTTTAGGGGAATTAAGGCAAATGGAATCTACCAGAAGTTCTGATCCTTCACGGCCACCAATACACTGATGATGCATCATCGTGAATTATATTTTTAGAGACATAAAAGTGTCATATGGGGCTGACCCACATTTAGGTCATCTTCCTCACCTCCCCCAAATCTCTTTGATATTTTAAAGACCTCTGGGAGTCCATAACCACACTTGCTAGAAATTCTGACTCATCTAAACTGACACGTCCCATGTTACCATCTAATTACTGATTTTCAAAACCCTCCTTGATGCACCTTGAACTGTAATACCTGAACTTCATGTCTACATGAAAAGCTAATCAAGATTCTGACACACTTTCAAATCTTTCCAAGTTGCAGAAGCATCCCCTTCATTTTCAATTTCCACTCTCTCCCTCTCCCCCCCAATCTTAAATCTTTGGGTTATCAGATGTACAGCATAATTAATCTCCATCACTTAGAGTATGACCTTTCTTTCAGTGAATACTCACTTTTATAGCCAAATAAACGGACTTAGAGATCAAATTTTATCAGAATTCTCTTTTTTTTGCTCAGAGAATTTAGCCAGTCATATGGTTCAAAATGGTTTGTTACCAAAATCTATTCCTGCTATAAAGCATTCTGGTTTCACAGTTTTGAAGGGCGGAGGGGTTACATGTTTCTTTATTTCACAAAGGGAACTAAAACAGTAACTAATGGAAATACAGAAACACAGTTTGAATGTTGAGGACTGTTAAAAAGATCAATAAAATCCCAGGAAAAGGGTGAAAATAAGCTAAGGAAACATCATAAAATATAAATATACAACACCAATGCTACATGAAAATGTAAGGAATCATATATGGATAATTAGAAGGTCATTACCCAGAAAACAACTATCTCCTTAACTGGAGCTTTGGATTGTGGGGGAAGTGAAAATACCTAGACAATTAAAACAATCATCTGTTGCCATCCTCTTTGCATTCTTCTGCACACAGTAGCTGCCAACGAATATTTGTATAACAAATGGAACACTGGCCAAGCTATTCGATGTTTTCAAACAAACTATAAAATTCTGTGACAATCACTTTTCTGCACACACAGGCCACATCTATGAGAGGCTTTATAGCCTGACTTAAAGGAAAGTGTGGGGTATCAACTGGCCATAGTTCATTTGGCTGCATAGAAGAAAACAAGGTCAGTTAAGATATGAACCCATCTTGGAGGTTTGTCTTGTACATTATTGTCTGCCAGGCTCCTGCCTAACTTATTTGTCTCCACCTGTGGACCTGAGGTAACAAGAGTTGGCCCGGGGCAATTCTGTAGTAGTGACAGAGAAGTCTCTTGAGGGCAGTCCCTTTCACTTAGTGTCTCTTGCCTGCACCTGCCCTGCTGTCCCTCTAACCAGAAGCACGTTTGTGTGCGGTCATAATGCTCCCAGAATCAGCCTCTTGAGCCCGGCCCCTAACACCAACCAGGATCTTGGGGGTGCTTATAAGATTCCTGTGGGTGTTCTCAGCCCTCCTCAGATCATCCCCCCAACTCCAGACCCTGCTTCTCTGGTTCGCACCTGCTACTTAAGGGGCGTCCCCGGGTCTCCGCGATCCTCTGCGCCCTGCGCACTGACAGCGCGGGCAATTGCAGGGGGACCAGAGGCGGGAAGCTGGGTGGGGGGGGGTGTACGCGGGATTTGCAGCCTTCAGCAGCAGCAGCAGCAGCAGCTGCCGTGGCGGCGGCGGGAAGAGGGGTGGAGGGTGGTGAGCAAGGCTGGAGCCCCGGCCAGGAGAGAGGGAAGGAGGGGGGCTAAGCGAGGCGAGCCAGAGGGGTGCTCCGCGCTCCCCCGCCCTCCTTCCGGGAGCGAGGATGCAGACTCTGGAACTGGTGCTGCTGGGCTGAGGCGGAGGCAGGGGAGTTGCAGCGTGCGGCTTGGTGAGTGTGTCTCCTGCGCGCGGAGAGGCGGGGGAGGCGGAGGATCGGGAGGCGGAGGAGGAGGAGGGGGAGAATGCCCGGAGCCGCCGCCGCTGCCGCCGCCGCCGCCGCCGCGATGCTCCCGGCTCAAGAGGCTGCCAAGCTGTACCACACCAACTATGTGCGGAACTCGCGGGCCATCGGCGTGCTGTGGGCCATCTTCACCATCTGCTTTGCCATCGTCAACGTGGTGTGCTTCATCCAGCCCTACTGGATCGGCGACGGCGTGGACACCCCGCAAGCCGGCTATTTCGGGCTCTTCCACTACTGCATCGGCAACGGCTTCTCCCGGGAGCTGACCTGCAGGGGCAGCTTCACGGACTTCTCCACGCTGCCCTCGGGCGCCTTCAAAGCAGCCTCCTTTTTCATCGGCCTCTCCATGATGCTCATCATCGCCTGCATCATTTGCTTTACCCTCTTCTTCTTCTGCAACACGGCCACCGTGTACAAGATCTGTGCCTGGATGCAGCTCACCTCCGGTGAGTGCGCGCTCACCTCCGCGGAGGCGGGGGACCCCTGGACGTCCCAGCCCGGTAGGGGCCGGAGCTGGGCGAGGTGGGGCGGGGGCGGGGGGAATACAGTGCGCTCCGGGGGGTCCTACCAACTTAAACCTCTCTGGCTTCGGGCTGCAGGAATAGAAGCCCTGGAAGGCCAGAACCCCCGGGGTTCCCCAGCCCGGCACTAACGCGGGTCCCGAGGCTTCCGTGAACCTCCCAAGTGTGAGGGACGCCACCCAGAGGGACGCGCTGGAGGCAGAACGGTTGTTGGGCTGAGTCCGCTCTGAACTAAAGATGGGGAGGGGGGGCAGGGAGCGGCCGCTTAGAGAGATGGGAGGGGGTGCTAAAGGACTAAGGCGGGACTGACACTAGGAGGTGAAAAGCGGCTTTGGAGACGTTATAGAAGAAGGGGCACTGCTCTGCCCCTGGCTGGGACTATTTCTGTCCTTGTTTCATGGGGTGGGTGTGAAATTGTTTTTTTCTGACCTGGGCATTGATAAATATTTTATCAACCATTTGGAGATGAGTAAATCTTAAGCTGTTTGGGGGTTCACTCTTTTAAGTAAAATGTAGTTTAGAGTGTTCCCTACTGATTCCCCAGTGTCAAGCCTTCAGTTTGCCTCCGTGTCAAAGCAAAGGTCCTTCTATTTCATCTTTATTCAGACGGAGATCTTGAGTGAAGCAAGATCTCTCAAGATCCCGTTGTGGGAAAGTGGAGTTAGGGAAGCGGGCAAAGAGAAAAATCTGCTTCATTAGTATCTGTGATCACTCTGCCTGTAGATGATAGATTGTTGCTAGCTGAACAATATGAAAGGACTTTTTTTCTGAGTATCAAAGTTACTTTTAACCCAGAAGGAATGGGGAGTGCATTTTCCTGGTGGCCTTGAAGAAATCCTGAAACAAAACCCACTCCTACAGTACCTCCTTCATGGCATCCTTTCTACCAGCCACCTTGAATGCCTTTCCTTCTGAAATCTAGAGTCCTTGGGTCCTTGGTAGCTTCGTGTTCCAACATTGTTGGGGTCTTTTTGATTTTATGGATGTAGTTTGGTTGTGGAGGAATATTCAGTGTCTAATGCAGACTTTCTCATTTGTGTCTTGTTTTATTATTGTCATTATTTAGGGATTTTGGTTTCAAGGTTTTGTTGTATATCCTTTCCAGGAAATCTTTTCTAGAGAGTAGGGATTTAATCCCTGAGTTTCCCAGCGTATGTAGGATGATTAAAATCCTTACAGGTGCTGGGAAACATCAAGGTTTCCCTTGATCTTATATCATTAATTTGATAGAAGAAAAGAGAAGCATGTCGAGGGAGAGTAAACATGTGTGGAAGTATTTGTTTGGTATAAAGTGCTGATTTTGATTTGTATTTACTATGAAAGTGTGTTTGTGCAAAGCAGTAAATAGAGCACCAGTAGGGATCCACTTCTCCCCCAGCCATTATCCTCCTGAAGTATAGTTCACCTTCTCTTTCCATCCCTCCACCTCCAACTTGAAGAACTTCCTCACTCAACTATATACATTTATTACTGTTTTTATATGTAATGTTAACTTTTATGGACATCACAAGAACAGAAATGAATAAATTCTGTTGTTCTTGATATTTAGCTCTGGTTTGACTTTGAAGAGAATAGGACAAACAGGATGCAGATGTTTTAGAAAAAGAATTGACCCTGTACAGCTAATTTTAATTTCTCTAAGTTAAATGACCTATTTAGACTGGGGAGTCAAATTAGATTGTTTTCCAAAGGTCTGAAAGTAATTTGCAGGTGATTTCTCAACAACACATTATTAGTTTATTTTTATGAGGTTTCACACTAAAACCATGCTTTTAAATAAAAGAAAGAAAATGATTTTTTGTGAAGAATTATCACCTCCAAAGTTAATAAAAACTGCAACTATTGCATTTTTTTTCTTTTCCTGGAATACAGCACACACAAATAATTTATTCTGGGATAATGAAATATGTAATATTTTCAGATAAGTCACATAAATATTCTATTTTGATTCTCATGTCATGTAAAATGTGATGATATTCTTTGTACTATAGATGATATAAGGACATCTACTTCATTTTGGAGAAATGAATTTTTCAATGGCATAGTTTTAAAAACCTTTATTTGCAATTTTTGGTGATTTATTTCTGTTTTTTAAATTTGCTAATCAAGTATATTAATAAGAATGGATTATGATGAGGGATCAAATAAGAATCAAAGTCAGTTATATTGACAGATTTTTAAGAAATGAGACAGAAGATATTTCTGAAGGGTATCACATTTAACATGTTTTTTTAAAGTCTAATGACACAAAGAATTTAACATTATGTACTAAAAGTTCTTTGAAAGTGTAGTTTCCAACCTTTGGACTATTCCTCTCTAATGTTGTTTAATGTCGTATAGGTTTCTTATGCTGGTGGTTTAACCACTCAGGCTAATCTTAGGTGCAGTTTGCTCGGTATGAAAGATGAGACTTGATGTACCATTTTCTTATGAGAGACTGTTTAACCTCCATGAGAAGTCAGGTAATTAACTTGTATATTTAGTTGTGTAAGTATTTTAATATAGTATTATCATATCAGAGCAAGGTAAAATATAAAATCCTATATGAAATGATACATGAAGATGAGGAAGCAGGAGACTGTCTGTGGCAATGCAGCATCAAGAATTATTCTTTGAATGGTTTTGAACAATGAACCAGAAAAATTACTTAATTTACTGGACCTGGAAACTATGTTGATCATCTATCTAGATGTGTGGTGCACATATAAGTATTGACACCATTATGAACACCTTGTCCTCTCCTTCTCCTCTCCTCTCTAAGTCATTATCAACTTCAGGAGAGAGAAACTGGGAAAGAAAGAATTAGGTGCTAATATGTCATATTACCTTCAGATGCAATCCTGTATTTATTGACCATGCTTTATATAAAGATTGAAGACATAAGAATAATGCATAAAATAATGACAATCAGAGATGCAAAACTTTCCCAAATCTGCAGATACTTCTTGAGAAGAAAAGATAAACATTCCTTTTATTTTTTTTTTCCTGTGTGATTTCTCTAACACTGAAAGGGCAGTAGTAGATCTATAATTGGTCAAGCAGGATAATAAAGTTCAGATTATTATTTTTTTCTCAAGTCAAGATGGAAAAGGAGCCCAGCACTCGTGGCTCATGCCCATAATCCTAGCTAATTGGAAGGCAGAGATCAGGAGGATAGTGGTTCAAGGCCAACCTGGGCTAATAATAGTTCACAAGACCCTGTCTCGAAAATATCCAACACAGAAAAGTGGCTCAAGTGGCAGAGCACCTGACCAGCAAGTGTGAAGTCCTGAGTTCAAACCCTGGTACCACCAAAAAAAAATTGGAAAAGGTATTTTGTCCCTCTGGGAATTTGAATCTCTGTTTTTATGCTCTTATTTTCTTTTAAAACAATATTTCAGTCTGTTTCCAATTGTACTAATAGCCAAATCTCATAAAGATGTTTTGTTTGTTTTATTATCTATGAGCTATATCTTGAATTGTTTCTGGAAGCCTACATGACCAAACAAATATTTTCTTTTCTCTTTTTTTGGGGGGGAGGGCAGTACTGAGATTTGAACTCAGGGCCTTGCACTTGATAGGCAGGCACTCTACCACTCGAGCCACACACTCAACCCTTTTTGCTTTTACCTGTTTTTTGGATAGGGTCTTGTGTTATTCCAGGGCTAGCCTAACTGCAATCTTATTTATGCTTCCAACACAGAGCCGCAGTGTCCAGCTCATTTTCTTTTTTTATAAGCTAAAATATTGAGGTAGAATACAACGTTTTGTATCCATCATGGATTTTTTTGTGAGAAAGCAACCGGCAAAGAAGTACTCACTTTCATTTGTGAGGAAAAGACACCTGACCCAGGTTGGATTTTTCTCATTCAGGAGGGATACAAACAAAATGGGTTGCACTCCTCAAATTACTCATCTTTGTGTCCCTGGGTGTACCAAAAAGAAGGACCACCAGATGGCAAGAGTATGGTGTTAAGTGCTGACTTGCTTAGTTAATTTGCCTTAGCCTTAGTTCCCCAAATTCTTTTTAGCCAGCTTCCTGTCTTATATTTTATATCTTTGTCATTTAGGTGAGATGAGAATCACCCAAAGGTTATCATTGTATTTGTTAGCCTGCAAGAGGAACCTTTGCAGCATTATGCCATGATGGCACCCTGTTATTTTCTGGAGATCTCATCAGCATTTGAAATTCTAGGTTGTTTGTATGTTTATTTAATATCTGTCTTCTTCATTTCATCTCAAGTTCAAGCTCCCTAGGCCTTGTTTGTTTTTCTTTATAAGCATAGAGGCCAATGGTCTTTAAGTTGGAGTTAAAAGATACAGGTTTGAAGCCTGACTCTGACACTAACTATATGATCTAGAGAATTAATCTTTCTACACCTCAGTTACTCATCTGCAAATAGGCATATAACTGTATCTACTTTAGTAGATTGGTGTAAGGATTAAATGAGCTAATGTATATAATTAGTGCCTGGCTCATAGTAAGAAAGCACTGTGTAAGTGTTAGGTACGGCTGATGTTGTTGTCTTTTTATTATTATTACTGTATCCTAGTACATAGTAATATTCAATAATTTTTGGTTGAGCTAACGAATGAGAAAAGAATGACTAATGGAGTGAAGAATGAAGAAGGAGTGATCTTAAATTTCTCCCATGCTATAGTGAGAAGGAAATGCTGTGTACTTTAATAGCCATGATACTGATCTTTCTCAGTTGTATCAGCAGTGACCGCACTGAAGAAACTCTTCTATGTCCTTTGGTGGTAATGGCTGTGACTTGACAGCCTAATTTGTGGTGAGCGTTTTCCCAAATGGAGGTTTCTCTGATATGTAGGTAATGATATTTATTACAACACTGGGAGATAATCAGTCATACTCAGGCTTTAGTAAAATTAAAAAAAAAATTCCCCTACCATTTAGTTTCTCATGAAAATTAAATCACATCATTCAAAATGGTGACTTTATCTAAGAATCAATAGGTGGGGCTTTCTTTCAGGAAGAGGAGGAACCTATTGCAGCCTCATTAGGATTTCCTAATGAACCTCAGAAACAATCAGGACCTGGGTATTCCTACTTCTTCTTACTGGGCATCAGTATAGACATGTTCTTGGATTTTCTTGGTCTCCCAGGGAGCCTACAGTGCTGCTCAGATGG